TGTGAGTCGGCATCGACTCCGTGGCTGTGTTTGGTGTCTCTGGTTCTATTTCAGACTTAGATGTCTCCTTATTTAAGGAGTTGACATCTACAAGTAGAAGATAGGAAACAAAATAGTGAGCCCTCTTCATCCGTGATTTTCAATCCTGGCTGCACACGGATAGCATCCGGGTGCTTGAAGAAATCCTCATGGCTGAGTTCCACCCCAGAGACTCTAATGTAATTGTCTGAGGTGGGACTTGGAGCTCCTGGGTAGACATTGGGCTATTTTACCTGCCAGGTCAGTGGTTCAAACCTCCTAGCGGATCCTTGGGAGAAAGATGAGGCTATGGTATAGATTTGCACCCTTGGAAACCCTCTGTAGAGCCACTCTGGGCCTGAATTGACTTGCCCACCATGGGATTGCACTTTTGTATTTCAATCATGAAAGCTGCAAGATTATAACGTGTAGGAAGAGCCCTACATACTGGGAGTGGATCTCAGTGTCAGGCCTTCAACCAAGCAAATGCCACAAATAAATTCTAAGAGAAAAATCTGTTCTCTGAACATTTCTGTAGTGGCAGCCTGCTGCGGGGAAGGACTGCATGGGCAGCAAAGAGATGTAGGTCCTGGGTAGGAGGTTTTTTGGAGCTTATCAGTAAAATATCATTGAGTCAGAAGATTTCTAAATCCTCTTCCAATGTTGGCATTTATGATTCTAGGTCTGTGTTTCTTAATATTGTTTTAAAATACAGGTGCCTTAGCCTTGCCTCCAGATAGTGTAATTTGATTGTTCAGGAGTGGTACTATTGGTGAGTGTTTTTTTCAAAGGCTCTTCTCTGGTTCTAATGGGCATCAATGAGTGTCAGTGATCTATGCTGTCTACTGAATAAATGTCTGTTAAAATAGAGTTGGGGATTTACCTGTGTGCACGTGTGGGCCTGGACAAAATGGTTTCTGGGGGTTTATTGCCCCAGAGGAGACCGAGTGATGGGATTTCACACTCAGCCTCATCATGATCAGGAGTGTGGCAGTACTGCAAACACATATGTCTCTGTTGTCTTAATTAGTCCCTGTTGGTTGTTCGGTTCAGAGTTGAGAAGTGATGCCAAGTGTCTGGGATTTTAGCCATTTGAATTCTTTGCTGGCTTTGGAGGCATGAAAACAATAGGTCAGATGGTACAGAACAATAGTAATATTCAACGCCCACACACTGCTTTATGTTAGCACCATTTAATCTTCCTGAGATTGAATCAATTTCCCCACATTTTAGAGATAGAAAACTTGAAACTCGGGAGAAATTAAGTGACAGATCCATGATCACACAACTAGTAAGCGACGGATGCTTTAGACCCCAATTTACCTGCTTCTCTACTTCATTCATTCACTTTGATTCTATAGAACAATCCTTAGCTGAATGGGCGTGGGAAATGGCTGGGGAACACAGCATATGTTTGGGATGTAGAGGGGAGGGAATGAGGCTAACAAGAACTACCATATAAACTCGGGTACAAGCCAAGATTTTTAGCACATTTTTAATGCAGTTTTTGTGGTAAAATTAGGTGCCTCAACTGATATTTAGGTCAGTTTATACTCAAGTACATATGGTAATTTCTCCTCTACACCACATGAAGGGTCAAGTCAAAGAGAGGACTGTGGTCTTTTTTGCAGATAGTTGACAGATGTGATGCTACAGCTGTGACAATAGGTGCCAAGCCAAGCAAATTCTGGCCTTAGCTGTCACCATGTTTCTGGGGAAGATGAGGAGATACCCTCATAAAACCAATGCTCTTTTTTTTTTTTTTTTGATGAGAGAGAGAGAGTGCATTTGGAGTTTGTTCCACTAGGTCAGATTGTTAATCAAGATTTGTGTAACAGGGTGTGACAAAAAGGCCTGGTTTGTGGCAGACGGGGCTGGTTTTGCCACCACAACAGCATGCCTCTCCTGCCCCATGCACCTTACTCACCTGATCTTGCTCTGTATGACTTATTTTTGTCTGAGACATGAAAGGACAGTGATTTGACAGCTTAAGAGAAGTGAGGAGAAAAACGAGGGAAGTGCTGTCAGCCATCCCAACAGAGGACTTTGTATTAAGTGTATTGGAGAGTACTTTGAAGGTGATAAGCTTGTTTTGCAAAAAATTTAAATACAGAGCTTTTAAAAAAAATCTATTTTGGGGGGCAGGGAGGTCCCCCCTTGTACAATCTCACTATTTTGGAATTGTTCTTCCTTTTGCTTAAAAAAATAAAAAGTCACTGATACTACAACCAAGAAGGTCACCTTCAAAGTAGCCAGATAGATAGTATAAAGGGGCAAAAATATAAATAGTCCATAAAACAGAACAGTGCTATCAGGTTTGACCAGCAATTTGATAATGGCCTTGGAGAGGCTCACACTGCCTTTGAATTTCTCAGCTTCTTGAACTATGGTTTCAGCTCCTGCAAACACAGCTGTAGGCATCCCTGGGTTGTGTAAATGGTTAAGCATGAGGCTGCAAAGCAAAAGCCTGTCTGGTGGAACCAGCACAGAGGCAATGCAAAAGAAAAGCCTGCAGATGTGCTTCTGTAGGAAGCATGAAACCGGGGGGGGAGCTCAGTTCTACTCTGCAACCCGTGAGGGCATCGTGAATTGGAATCAATGCCATGACAACTGAGTTTTAGGTTAGAAGGGTTGTCTCATGTACTTGTGCAAGTATCAAAATCACCTGGAAGACTCGTGCGACCATAGACAGCTGGGCTGGTCCCAAAGCTTATGGTTCAGTAGATCTGGGATGGCTGCCTGGTTTGTGGCAGATGGGGCCCGCTGGGTATATTTTCCCTGTTTGTTTTTTTACTTCAAAATAAGATATGTGCAGTGTGCATAAGAATTTGTTCACAGTTTTTTTAAAAACTATATTCCGGCCCTCCAATGGGTCTGAGGGACAGTGAACTGCCCCCCCTCCCTGTTTAAAAATTCTGAGAACCCCTGGGACTCTTGGAAGATCCCAACTGGTGCTGACATTGCTGGTCAGTGCAGCAAATCACGGCCGACTCACATCATGATCTCGCTTCAGCTTGAGGCAAGACCCCAAGATAGCACAAAATGGTATGCATCTAAAGGTTGGCAGTTCAAACTCCCTTTTCCAAAGACAAGGCCTGGGCTCTGTTGTGCGGAGATGACAGCCAGGATTCCCCTGGCAGCCGAAAACCGTAAACCATAACGTGTCATGCATTCTTTCCAAAAACTGAGACTTTTAAAAAATGCTGCGGGACGCGGGACAAATTGTTAAAAATCGGGACTGTCTGGTCACCTTACCCTGGGGGGCATTTGTACTCTGTAACTCAGCCGTGGGTTTCACTGGAAGTGGAAATCGATACGCAGGGGCAGCTAGCAGCCACAAGTGTAAAGCAATCTGAATGGTGCTAGAGCTCACTCACTGCTCTCCAATTAAAAAGCAAAAAAATATCCTATAGCAAGAAATCACCATCAGGACCCCATCCCGTCAGGCATTTCTAAAAGGGACTGTTGCCAATGTTTTCACACACCCACGAAGGAGTCCGACACCAGACTGATTCCCATAGGAATAAAGCAGCAGAGGAAAACTACAGGGACCAGCCTATGGCAGCACTTCATGGGAGCGAAACAAGTCATAAGAGCCAAATGAGGTTGTTCTTTTAACCCAGTGAGCATTCGGTGCAGAAGCAAAAAGCCTACACCAAAGGGCCGTAATCTGGTTTAAAGTCTATCTGCCCTTTAGGACATACATTACACGGTCAGCTAAAGCCACATGGTAAGGTTTGCAAAATTGTATCTTGACAGGTAGTGAGGCAACGTACCTTAGTCCCCAGTGATTAGAATGCTGTCCACTAAAAGTGCTAGCATAGTAACAAGAGGACCAGCTTGCACGAGACACAGTTAACCTTGAACAGGGCAGTGCCAAATCCCACAGAAAAAAATAAATTAGCCTATTGAAGCTGGCTCATAAAAAATCATTTCAAATCTGCAAAACAATTCTGAGGTTTTATTCATAGTAATACTTAGAGCTTTCGTAAGTGGGTTTTGAAGACTTCTGATTAAAATATAATGAACGGGTCTAAGCTTTTCCATTAAACACTTGAAAATGAAGGCTTGCTAGAATGCCATAAGGGCCTGGTTTTATCTCCTCTTTCACCGGCCTTCTCTTCCCACCCTCTTTTTGTTCTTCAAAAAAACGTACAAAGGCAGGTGGACACGCAGTGAGTATAAAGAGCATACTTATTATATTATGAATGCCTATTCAATAAGCGAGCTACCACACAACAGGTGCCTAACTAAAGGAATTTATTTACCCAGGCGGCCTGTATTATGTACTCGTTATCTTGAACTGTGGAGTGAATCATGTGAGCATCTGAAGTTTTAAGAGACTCACACAAGATTTGAACTTCCTTTGATCTGGTTAGTGTAGCCCGGTTTGGGAATCAGGATGGAGTGGTCATTCAGTGGTAGCATTCTCATCACCTATGTGGGAGACCTGGAATTAATCATCGGCCAATGATTCTCCTGTGCAGTCACCACCCGCCTGTCAGTGGAATTTACAGACTAAGACAGATCTGAGGAAAAAAGGCCTGGAAAATCCTATTACTTTGTTATTGTTGCCAGTGGGTTTTTCCTTTTTCGGTATTATTTTTGTATATTTTATCCAAGAGGGTATGGCAGGGAGGTTGGGTGGTGGTGGAATGGGGAACTCATAACAATGAGTACAAGAAAGACGCAAATGTTCTACACTTGATTCTGGTGATGCTTGTACAACTCTTGTTGATGTGATGTTCTTTCTTTAGAGAGCATCAGCTCGTTCGTTTAACTAGAGGGAACCCCAGCAGTGAGTGAGGAGAAGCCCACCTTGAACCAGTTAAGGCAACCCCTTCCAAACAGCAGAGTGGTCCCACAGTGAGCTTGCCAATCTCACGACCACTGTCAAAAGCTTGCTTACATATGGATGGCCATTGGTTTGGCAATGGAGACGCATGCGCATGGTGGTGAAGAGAGGGAGCTGTACCACTCACCTGGCCTGGTTGCTCGCAGGCGGTCTGGTATCTTGCCTGCTGACAGAGTTCTTTGACCCGTTCGTACTTGGGCAGGTGGTTGGACTGTGGGAGGCTCTTGTTCGAGTCCTCCTTCTTCCGTAGGAATTTGCTGTGACAGAAAAGGAAAAGCTGTGTGCTTGAGAAGTGATCCAAATTGCCTTTCCCACCCGCTCTTTCTGTGTTCCTGTCACATGACTCCATAGTCATCAAAGGACGAGAAATAGATATTAACCCTCTGTCTAAAGGATTCCAACATCTAATGAATCCTTTGATGAGCTAGGTCCTGTCAAGATGAGCCGTCAGGATCAGAAGACTTCCTGCCCAACAAAGTGCTGACGTCAACACGAGGGGCAGACTCAGGCACAAAGTCCTTTGTAAGGAGAAAGAACGTGCTTTTCTCACTCCCTCTAGCTAAGTACAAAGGGAACAAGTCAAAGAGCATTAGGAATTACAATGGACAGCCCAGAAGTGGCTATTCAATAGTGGCAATTGCATACAGTTCAAAACTGAGCAAGTGAAATCAGGTGAAGAAGCAAGCTTTGAGGATGTCTGAGAGGAGGAGGCTTGAGGAACTCAAACCAGTGGTTCTACTGGACAGCAAGGCCAAGCAAGGCAGCAGCAAACCCATACCCAGAGGCGTTAGCCCTGTATTCTGAGGCCGTATCCTTTACGCTTCTGATGCAGGAGGCATCACTCTGCTAGCCAGCAGGGAATGAGTAGCAAGGCATTCCATTTTGTGATGAAGCTTACAAAATCTGCATGCTTAGCAAACTAAAATAAGGAAGGGGGAAACATACACACACACACATACACACAGCAGGGCAAACTGCCCACTAGGACTGGTTCCCAGAAGCACCCCAGGAACCAATAATTACCCTCTTTCCACCAGGAATGTGTCACGCCAAATTTTGGCCTTCTTGTTTGTTCGAAACCTGAAAGCAAAATAACAATATTTACTGTTGGCATCTGGACGGTTTTCCAAATGGACCTGTGCTAACAGTTTATTTAAAGGACACCCCCCCCCCCCTCACGTCTGGTGGGCCAGTCCTGCGTCTGCATCAATGTGCTATTCACCAACAGCCAAGAACTTTGCAGCTGGCCTGATCCTGATGGGCACAGCGGATTTTGCCTCCACTCTGCTCAGCTGCTGGCTGGCCCTGGACGCCTGGCTGAGGGAAGTAGATTGACGCACCTGTTACCTGGCTTTTCCAGGTCCAGGAGTTTGAGGACAGACTTGCCATCCACGTCGGGAGGTGTGTCCAGCCCAGCGATATCCAGGATCGTGGGGGCCAGGTCAATGTTGAGAACGATCTGCGGAACTCTACAAAGGAACAGATGGTTACACCCTCGCTCTGATACCAGTGGGGGGTGGCACTTAGGGTTGCTTTGTCAACAGGGGTGACTCACTGCCTTTCGCTCTTTCCACCCTCTCCTCTGCTCTCTCCAGGGATGGGTGGATACATTTGGCCAGGATAGGGGTGTGCTTGGCAGGGATGGTTCACAGAAAGATTGATAGACTCTTGGGGTCACTCTGGAGAGCATGGCCCAGCCATTCCACAACCTGGCAGCACCATCAGCCTAGCCTTGCTCAAATAGGTATTTTGTGTGTGCGATGCACACTATCTTCTAAAATGCTGAAGTCCAAAACTTCTCTGTTGGACTAAGGCTAGAGTGTTCAATATTCTAAAAAACCGTAAGGTTTTCATCGCTCAGCCCAGCCCGTGAGACCTCGCTTTGGCACTGAGCCTCGGAACTAGAGAGCTGACACTTCCCAAGGTGTTTCTAGTGACCTCAAGAGCCAGGACACCATGCTTTAAAACCCCAAACCCAACCCTTCTGACCCTGTTTCTCCAGGATCAGCAGAAAAGACCCAGGGAGGATCTCTGAGCTCTGGGCCTCCAACTTAACCCCTTCTAGGACTGAAGACTCTAAGTGAGGCCCTTCCACTCTGTAACAGCCTTCTGCATTACAGGTCCAGGTCAGAAGCTCTTTAGGGGTCATTTCAAGCTTTTGAGGTCTACATCCACTCTTTTAACTCTTTTCATAACTGTTTGCCTGTGCAGGAGCTCATGTGGTGCAACTGCTACCGATCGAAGAGAGTACAAACCTATCTGACAACGGGGGCGCAGATGCAGAGGATTCAGTGACCTTGCCTAGGGCCGAAAGCTGGGCAACAGAGACACACCTTCCATCCTTTAGGCCTCTTTTCTTTGGAAAGAAAATCTTGTGCACTGAAGTGCACATGCACAATAAAAATGTCGAACTGAAAAATGTTCTGTTTTGTATATATGTTTACCATAATAATAATAAAAAATAAGGAAGATGATCATGATGTCTTTTAACTTTCTTGAATAAAAACTTAAAACATGAAAGACCAAGAGGGTGGCAGGGGCTGTTTGAAAACAAGACAACGACAGGGGAACTCTGATTCAGAGAAGTCCGGGGCGCGTTTCTAAAAGCCCTACCCTACCTCTTTGTTCCTAATTGTACGCTTTAGTTAATTTAGCGGGGGGTGGTGTTTCATCTTAATTACCAACCTACATGTACCCCTTTTTTTTGTTTGGGATGAAAGGAAACTAGACACTGGGATTGGTAATCGAATTATACGCGAGTCAAACGCACACTCCTACAGCTGGATGTTGCAAGCAGAGACATACGTACATCGATCCTGGCTGCACACTGGGACCACGGATAAAGAAAGGCACGCGGATATCAAAGTCATATGGCATGGATTTCCCCTTGACCAGTCCAAACTGTCCAATATGGTAACCGTGGTCAGCGGTGTAAATGATGTATGTGTTCTCCAGCTCCCCGGTGTCCACAAGCATATGATACAGCTGAAAGGCAGCACAGGGGCAGGTCAGAATCAAGCGTGATGATGCCACATGGCATTCAACAGCACTGCCGTAATTGGCCTCAAAGTTTGCCCTGTTAACTTTTAAAAGCCAAGAGTTGTTTTCTTTTATGCTCCCCACACCCCCCGCCCCACCCACTTGAGTCATTTTCTTAAGGCTGACACACACAAAGATTATGCCCATTTTCTAGCTGCCTATAATCCTGGAGAGGAAAGGTTAAAACAAATCCAAGACAATTGGAACAAGTCTCTTTGAATCTGCAATGTGCTCGGTACAGGTTTTGTTGGTCTTTGGGGGGAGAAACAATGAAACAAATAACAGAACTGAAAAGCACGGGGCAACGCCCACCACCAGCCTTTGTAGGTTTCCGTTTGAAATTCAAGCTGAGAAGCAAATGTTAATGTCATCCCTCTTCTATTTAGTTCTTCAGGGTTGAAAACAGGGTGTCTCTGAGTTTGGTCCAGCTAGATCCAGTTTACAGGTGAGTTTGATTTGATTTATGCTGGGTTAAAATTCAGAAAATTTCACCTAATGTCTTCGCTTTTTTTTTTAGATAGGAAAATCTGGCAACACTGCATTGACATTCCTACACTCAGGCAAAGATTAGCATGCATTAAATAGTTGCTGCCCAGCTACTTGATTTCAAAAGAGAAAACAACCAGTTTCCCTTTCATCAATTATAAAAGTCCCAATGCACCTCTGGGTGGACTCAAACCACTAAGCTTTTAGTTAGCAGCTAGCTATGTGAACACTTTGGAAAAGGAACTCAATTCCAAATTCTTCACAATCCCCACCATACACTCTTAACTGGACCTGCTTTACTCGTGCACATGATTTCCTCCAGGCCCCAGAGCGTTGAAGGTGTGGCCTCGGACAGGAAGTGCTTTAGTAAACTTCCTTGGCCATTCGCTTCATAGGAACCCAGCCTGGAGAGGCCCCACTGCTGCTGCGAAGCCAATTCTGACTCAGAGGGACCCTATGGGGCAGAGCTGAACTGTTCCCAAGGATTTCCTAGACTGTAAATCTTTATGGAAGCGATACCTCATCTTTCTCCTTCAGAGTGGTTGATGGGTTTGAACAGCCAACCTTTTGGTTAGCAGCCAATATGTAACCCATTGCACCACGAGGACTCCTAATCCTGGCGAGGTAACCAGAAAAAATTGGGAAAAGATAAGGGAGGGATGATTGAAATACCCAACCACATGTGAACTCTCTCTCTCTCTCTCTCTCTCTCAAGATCATGCTGGGAACACCCTCCAAAACACCCATTCCACCCTAGGGTGAAGGGAGACAGGACAATGTAAGATAGGAAAATAATAATAAATAATTTATCAAGGGGTCACGAGGGTGAGAGGGAAGGGAAAAAGAGAAGCTGATACAAAGGGCCCCAGTAGAAAGAAAATGTCTTGAAAATGGTGATGGGAACCTATGTACAAATGTAATTGCTACAGTTGATATATGGATTGTTATAAGAGCTGGAAAACCCCAATAAAATGATTTAAAAAAAGATCATGCTGGAAAACGAAAAGGGGAGCTGGATGAAGACCCGCTGCCGAGGGAGGCGCGCGCGTGCTTACCCTTTCCACGGAGTCGTCCACTGACAGGAGCGTCTGCAGCCGCTTGCGCTGTAGAACGTTGGTGAACTCCATGTGGATCGGCAGCATGGGGCCGGTGTACTGCATAATCCAGTGCTTATCCATATTGGGTGCATAGTTATAACTCGGAGTTCTGAAAATATAGGAACGGAATCTCACTATTTTTTACTTAGTAGTTTAGGGAAAATTTCTCAAGGGAAAAAAAGGCTTTGTGAAGTCGTGACGTGTGAGGGAGAAGCAGACCCCACTGAGCATTTCACTTTCTCGGCTGTCTTCTCTTGGTGCCTAACTGAAGGCTTCATCAACCCCAACCCCAAATGCCACACAGTTCCTAAAGGTGCAGGAATTCAAACTCTGACACCACGGCTGGACGCTGATAAGCAGTCTTTCTTTAAAAAAATGTAACGTAGTGCGAGTGCCATTGGGATTGATGGAGTAAAATGAGGGATAAACACATCCCTATGATCCCGGCAATGTTACACATCGGATGAAAGCTCAGTACTGTTACCGATCAAGCTCCGTGATGTAGACGTGGATGTTCTCCCCGTGGTGTTAGCTCATAACATTTCATAGCTGATTCGGTTCTTCCGGAGCATCACAAATATGTGGAATGATGATGAGTCCTAATTTTAACCTTTTTTCCTCATGAATTTATCATGGCTTTAAAAATGGATTATAGATTATTTTCTGTACACACACCTAGTTCCTAATCTTGAATATAGACACCATTGACTTAATTGGATTTGCTGGAGTTATAGCCAAGTGTACCTCGGTAATATACACATTTACCAATAAAGCTATTCATTTTATAGACAATTCCATTCATCACAGGGCACCATTTCTGTTAATTAGATAGACCTAATCCACTAAAGCTTCTCTTCGATGCCATGATGTTTACTAGTAAAAACTCATTTGATTATCTCAGTTGTTCAGAGAAGTGCGCTTCTTGCCCTGTTTTATGACTGAGAATATAAACGTGTTTAAAAAAAATCTGTTTTCATCTGCTTGTTTCGGCCTCAGGAGGACCTCCTTTGTGACAGAGTAGAACGGCTCCATAGAGGTTTCTTTGTTGTAATCTTTATAGAAGCAGATCACCTGGTCTTTCCCCTGCGGTACTTTTAGGTGAATTTGCACTAACAGCCATTAGGTTTGTAGTGCTTATGCCACCCAGGGGCCAAACAGAGGCTTTTTCCCCCACTTCCTGCTGTGGAGTGAATTCCAACTCATAGCAACCCTATAGGACAGAGCAGAACTGTCCTTTGGGGTTTCTAAGAGGTGCTAAACTTTTGAGAAGCTGAAAGCCTCAAATTCTGCCCAAGAAGCAAGTGGTAATTTCGAACTGCTGACCTTGTAGCCTAACTCATACCCAATAGAGCCTCTCTGAGACTTAGCCTGGTTAAATAACTTCCCCATCATTCGCAGTTAGTAGGTAGTAGAGTGAGGGTTTGGCTCCAAAGCCCATTTACTTTAACACAATGAGAGAGAGGGCGCAAATTAAAATGAGGAGTTCATGCTTTTCAGATGAACCACCACTTTGCAACAGACAGTCTCATGGAGCAATCCACAGCCTGTGTTGCAAGAGAAGTGTGACTCCAGGTGTCTGTTCTGAGGAAGAGCCTATTGATGGAAGGCCATGGATACTGATAACTAAAGGTGAGCCAGGTCCACCATGCAAATGCTACAACTACAGAAGCAGTCGCTCACTATTCAGGAACCTTGACTGAGTCTGGCAGGTGTAGCCCCAGGGGTTCCCTAGGGCAGTGCTTTCCCACGGGGCAAACCGACTTGGTGAGTGGCATGGGGGTGTGGTGAGGTATGTTGATGCATATGGGGGGTCAATAAATGCCATAGATTAGTACACACTTTTCTCTTGCCCTTGGATTTTCAGCAATGTTCCTTATAGTACAAAATGCTACCTGGATATCAACAGTTATCTATAGAGAATATTTGGGGCACCACTAGAAGCACAAAGGGCCCCTGATCAGTAAGGAAGATGGTTAACTAACAGAAGTACCCAGCACAAATATCAATATGCCATGTATCACCGATGACAGTTTCTAGAAGCGTGCAAACCATGCCCAGAACTATAAGTCAATTTCCGTTTAAAGAGACATAAAGTACACCTGGAGTTTGAATCAGGTGCACGTTCTTAAAACTGGGATAATAACAATAACCTACCAAAGCCACTGTTACTAAGTCAACGCCAACTCATAGTGTCCTTAAAAGGGTTTCCAAGGCTGTAAATCTTTACTGGAGCAGACAACCTTCTGTTTTTCCCAATTAGGGATAATGATACCTCTTTTAAATAGCTATTATGAGGTGTGTGTGTGTGTGTGTATATATATATATTTATTTATTCCTGTACAGAAGCACATCAGTTTCTCATCTGGGCCACTAAGTGACTGCAAAATTTTTCCAATATTTAAAAGAAATCTCTTTAGGACTCACCATAGGTTGTTTTTTTGTTGTTGTTGTTAAAGAGAAGTTTCCGATATAAAGCTCCTTGTACTTCTCAGGTAAATGACTCCTGGACTCATGAAGCAAATGGTCTCACTTCGTTTGGGAAGAGTTCCCCGCACGGAAGAGTGAGCCACGGACGCCCCATTGGATCTCAGGAGCTTCGGAAGTGGGAAAGCCCTCCTGCCTGTGCTTGGTCCTCAGGCAGCATGTCATGTTACAAACAGGATTAGATTAAGAGGCTGAAGAGAAGACACAGGACTTCTAAATCCCATTGGAAAGGGCTTTTCTTTCTTTCTTTTAACCCAGCGGGGGTCGTTTGAGGCCAAAGATCTATAGCAAATTGCTTATGCAGGGTCCCTTAACCATTTACTGATACGGGCCCTGAAAAAGAACCCAGCTATAAAAGATGAACTATACGGGGTTTCTTTATAACACGAAAAATCCTCCCCTTGTTGCCTTTGATGTTAGGGCAGCTGAATTTAAAAAATAAATCTAGTTGATTTTTTAGTTTTCTTGCAAACCACAAAACCTCAACACAAATAAAAATTACGATAGGGAATGGAGAGTCAGCATCGCAAAGGGCAAATTACAGCCCCCCCTCTGCCCCACGTGCTTGGCGTCTCTCCCCCTTACTCCAAGACACAGGGAAGGTTGCAGAAAATTACAAGCCTCAAATTGGACTCCTGGATTTACAGAATGACATATGTTAAATCTGGCTCATATTAAAAGAGGGAGTGCAAGGCCTGTTGTCAAAGTGTCTCCCCCTCCCCCCCGCCTTTTTTTCCCTTCTTCATTTCTGGAGATGCAAGATGGCCCCCTGCTCCAGGAATGAGATCCCAGGTGGGGTCTCGGCAGGGGGCCTGGAAAGGGGACCTACATTTGCTGTTTAAAGGAAGACAAGCCGCTCTCGCTCACTGCTGCTCCCACAGAACAGCATCTGTTCAGGGCTCCTGCAGGTGGAAGGTCAGGGGTCGCTGAAACTGACAGTGCTGTTGAAAAGTGATCTTTTGCCAAAGACCTGTGGTTGCCTCCTGCTGGGGGCTGCCAAATTCCTGGAAGATGCAGCCTTCTGTCCTCCAGTGATAATTAAGGCTTGCTGCCCTAACTGAGCCTGAGGAAGAAGAGGCTGTGGACTTCTATAAAGAGGTACAGCTTCTGCAATCCAGGGACAGGTCTCCCCTGGCCTGTAGGGTCCCTGTGAGTCAGAAGTGATTCACTGGCAGTACGTTTGGTTTGTTTGTTCTCCCCGTAACTGAGGAACAGGGATGGCAAGGCTTTGTCTTGCATACTTTGGACACACGATCATAAGAGACCATCCATGGAGAAGGACATCATATTTGGCAAAAGAGGCAGGCCCCCCACGAGAGGGATTGCCACACTGGTGGCATCAGTGGGCTCAGGCCCAGGAACAATGGTGAGGCTGGCACAGGACTGGGCAGTATTTCCTTCTGTTATACACGGGGTCACTGTGGGTCCGAGCCAAGTCGATGGCACCAAACAACAGCTGAGGAAGAGACTGAAAATGATACAAGCAGAGCTTGGGGTTCTTAGCTAGAACATAGTCATTGAAGAAAACCCCCCCACACACACCCCCCGCAAAAAAAAAAACCAACACAGGATTTTAGGGAAGAGTGGCAAAGCTCCTACTCCCCTTTTCCCAGAAAGTTTTGTGTTGGAGTAGACGTTCTCCTCTTGTCCTTGTATTGTGTGACCTTGGGCAAGTGGTTGCAACAAGCCTCAGTTTCTTCATCTACGGAATGGGAACAACACCTTTCAAGAAATCTTCCAAGGGCTTAAGTCAATGACTCCAGAGAACAAATCATGGGCCCACTTTGTACCCTGACTAATAGAGGGTGGGGAAAAGATCTCATCGTTGACTGGCTCATTTGATGATTGTGGCAACTCTGATGACAGCAGGCAGGCCATAGAATTCCCATTTTCCGAAAGAGAAAGTAAAGTGCAGAGGTGGCTCAGAAGGATGTGCTGAGGCAGCTCCCTGCCAGACTCCTCATGCCACATCACACTGGCTACACAGCCCCCCACCACAGGTTCCCTGAAAGGTCTCCAAATCCCAGCCATTAAAGGGAGAACTGACACATAATCTAGGGGGGTTGAAAACATTTGTGGAGAAATTCCATCATCTTTTTAAGTTCTATTTTTCCACAAACTTTTCAAAGCCCCCCTCGTATGTCCTTCTAGCAAAATTAGGTCTTAAAACTCCTTAGCCTTCACCCTGGTTGAAACTCTTAGCAGGTTCAGTTTTCCATTTAGATACTTCCTACTTATTGCTGCAAGTCCATGTCTGCTGCAAATGCAGCATAAAGTCTGACCCTACAAGGCACATATTCGATGAGTCCGTGAAAAGGGAATACCATTTGCTTTAAAATCGAAAGGACCAAGGTTCAGATGGTGGCTTTTGAATGACTATTGTTTTCCTCTTAAAAAAACAACAAACCAAACCCATGCTGCATCTGGCGAGTCTCACTTGTTTGGATAAGGGTGCTTGACCCAGAATGAAGTGTCCCAACTCATAGCAACCTGAGGGGACAGGGTAGCCTAACTGGCCCTGCGGGTTTCTGAGATGGCAGCTCTTTATGGCCGTGAATCTGATTGCTTCAGACTTTAAACTCCCAAGAAAACGTACCTGTAACCCTCAAAAGACCATTTCCTCTA